AGACAAATGTGAGAGCTCTCTTAGTGTAGGAGAAATGTCTGAGCACAGTGTGTGATGTTGTTGAGATCTCTTCTAAAGCTTTAAAGAAGACCATTGTGACAGTGTTAGAGTTTTTGTCTCAGGAGACAAGTTTGAGAAGCAGGAGGCTCAAGCAAAGTTTCCATTCAATCTTAAAGTAATCTCATTTCTGTCTAGGAGAAATATGTGAAATGGTAAAGAGATATCTTTTTTATTTTATTTTTCTTCCCTCTGGTTAGTGCATTGTCATATTTTAAGTTGTTTTATGTACAGTGTTTTATTGCACAGTGATTTAACAGAGGAAACCATAACCTATATTTACATACATGCAAAAGTGGGCTGTACAAGACAAAATTTTAATACTAAACAAAGCAAAAAAAAAACCACTGGTACACTAGAGTTACATTTGTTAAAAAGGGTATTGCTCTTATACTAAACATCTTGCACTTGTAAGTCATTTTAGTGTGTTTGGAAAATGTGGTGTATACAATGCTAGACATTGAAGATAAATTTAAACATTTAAACTAACCTTTGATATTCTGGAATGTTTAATGCTATTCAAATGATAGTTTGAGTATTTACAATATTAGTAAAAGTTTAACGTTTCTCCTAAAATAAAACTGAAGACATCTTAAGACAAAGCTGATATCTCAATGAGACATATAAGAGAATCACCCCTTAGTATCCTGAGCATAGAGTAAGCTCTGTCATAGCCATAGTCTTGTGGGCAGCACATCGACGTGAAGGCACAACTGCACCTCAGACAACATGTGTTTGAATCCCGGCTAAATGTACTTTCCTGCTCCTGTTTAATTCTTTCCTGTCTCTACTCCTACTGTCCTGACCATTAAAGGTGAAAAACCCCATTGCAATAAAAAAAGAAACAGCAACCTCTGAGCAGTAAAACATTTTTATAATGGAGTCTTGCAGGAGATTACAGCAAGACAATAAAGAGATCTCCCATGTTTCTCACACATTTCTCTCCCATTGTCATTTTGGATTCCTTTCTTTCAGAACTTTCTCATGTCTCAGCTGTGTCTACTTTTATTTCTCCTAAGGATTTTTAGGAGAGACATCTGAGACACTGTTGAGACTAAAATGAGAAATACATGAGAATCACAACTAAGTCTCCTGAGGTTAGAAAGAGCAACCACTGAGCAATAAAATATTCCTATAATGGAGTCTTGATAGAGATTGCAGAAAGACAATAAAGAGATATTCTATGTTTCTTCCAACACATTCTCTGTTTTGACTCTTTTTTCTCTCAAATATTTCTCATGTCTCATTTGTGTCTACTTCTATTTCTCCTAAGGAATTTTAGGAGAAATATCTGAAATGCTGTTGATACTAAAATGAGAGATATATGAGAATCTCATCAGTCTCCTGAGTTTAGGAAAAGCAACCACTGAGCAATAAATTTTTCCTATGGGTTGGCCTGGATTTCTAAACTGCCTTAAATGTCAATTTTGGCTTGGTTTTCCTATTGACGTGCTCTACAGTCCTCATACATTAAGTGTATTTGCATTGCTTTGATCGTTCTCAGATCCCACCTTCTCGCACGCAACGATTGGTCAATAATGTACAATGCCGGCACACTATTTGTCAAACTATTTTTCAGTCATTACCTTCAGCAAGTATGAAAACAATAGGAAAAAAAAGCCAAAACCAGGACATTTTAGGCAATTTAGAAATCATGGGCAGGACATGTCTGGGAAAAGAGGATGCATGGTCAGTTACGTTTTTACAACTTTGTTGCCATGTATGACAACAGCAGAGCAGCATAAACTTTAAATCAAATTTGATTTAAAAAAAAAAAAAAACAGTTCAACAGCTCAAATAATACAGAAAAAAAGAATGTAAGTGCTGTTATAAAATAAATAATAATAATTTTTGCTTTTAAAGCCTCTAAAAATTGGCCTCATTCACTTCCATTTTAAGTGCCTCACTGTAACCTTGATGTTTACTTTTTAATAAATAAGGAACATGCCAAAATGACTTCTGGTAATCAACATTATGCCACAAAAGTTGTCGGTTGAGCTTAACTTGTTTTTAAACTGAAATATTTCTTTCATTAAAAAACTCTTACATGTCAGCATGACACAGAAGTGAATGCAGTCACTTTCAAAAGTTGTTACAGAAGCCTAGTGTAGTGCTCTGCATACCAAGACCTCATTAAATGCACAGCATTCCACCAAACATCTGAGGGTCATTATCACCAACAGTGATAATGTCTATTGTACATCATGCTGTCATGTCTAATGTATTCCGTCTTATTTATTTTTTCCGCTTGCCACTGTTCAAAAGGCAGACTCTGATTATTCACATTAATAGTTAATATGACGTTTATGAACTGCCGTTTATTCCATGCAATTGCCTGCAAGCCTCACATCTGTAAAAATGATCTGTAATTCTCCCAGGAAGAAGAAGTGAAGGAACAGAGCAGAAGAGTGATGAAAACAAGGAGAAAATTTAAAAGGGCAGATTTATGGCATTCATTGGTTAAAACTGGACACAAATGCATCACTGAGTCATTCAGAGATGTCAATGTTTCACTGTAAAGAGTCTTTCTGAAAATAAAAGGCTTGACTGTATCCACTGAAGAACAATTAGACACACCTATGACGTTTTAAGATCATTATTAAGCACCAATATTTCACAAGAAATATATGGCTGATTCTTCAGGGCAAAACTGACAAAATTAAACTTCTTCAAATTTTGTTAACAAACAATTAACTTTGAATTTATAGAAGAAATAGTTATGTTTTTTAATTAAAATACTAATATTCTCAATATACAAAATATCAAATACACACTGCTTTAGTAACAATAAATAATAAAGATATTCATTCTTTACATTTCTTATCATCAAACTGTCACCCAGCTGATATGTTGCCCTGTCACTTCAATTGAAATAATAAATAAATAAAAAATAACACTTGAATTTATTTTCTATAAATTTATCTAAATTATCTATACATCATTTTAAATCATTTAAGAGACAAGAAAATGTCTCCTACTTTATAAATTGCTTAAATATCAGCTTCAGTCTGTTTCAAACATTGATACCATGCAGATCAGGAAATAACAGCAGCTAGTTAGTGTGTATCTGGTGGTAAAGCATAGGGCCTCAAGTGAGAAAAACATCTAATTAAAAGTCTCTTTGATAGCTTGTTACTTTGCAGTGCTCATACATGGACATAGGTCTGAGATTGTTGCAATAGCACGTCAATCTCGAAGTATTCACCTATAACTTAAAATGCCACATGCACGCTCTCTTCCTCATTCAGACCACAAACCAAACCACATCTCCAGCAACACAAAGTTTTTGGAGTCTTTCACCAAACATCTTGAGTGCCTGGCCAGAGCTTGTTCAGTGCTCTTGTATACAATCAAGAATGCTACGCTCCCACAGTGCCTTCAAAAGCCCTGAATTAATAATCGTAGCACTTTTTAGGAGCTATGTAGATTAGCTACCAGTCATGTTTGCTGCCTTAAATTATTAATGAGTTGTTTGCACCTCAACTTGACCTTCCTCCTGATGCTGCTGTCTCCAAACAAACTTGCATACAAGCAGGATGAAGCAGTGTGAGGTAAAGTGCCAGGGCTTTTTATAGGAGACATGCTTTTACTGAATGAGAAGGATTGGAGCGAAAATAAAATGGAATTGCAGAAGTCAAGCCAAACTACTTGGACCTGTGACTGTTGAGGCAAAAGGTCAGAGAAAATTACTTTCCCATAAAGGGACGTCAACCGGCAAGGCTGAAAATCACCAAAGCAAAATACTGAATGACGTGAAACAAAACAAACCAATGAAAATAGCAGGTTGTATGTCCAGTTTTCAAAGGAAAACATTTGTCTGATAGAATGCCTTATTTTGTGCAGCAACATGCAAAGAGAACGAAAAGGATTAAACACACTGAACTCAACACATTTGTGAATTTCTTCATTTAACAACACAATTTCCTCATGTGAATAAGTATTCTGATTTATAGAAGTAATCAATAGTTTGCACATTGTAAAAGTAACGTCAGGCATTAGCATTGGTGACCAACAAAAATTTTGGTTATTCCAAAACTCGAAAATACTTTTCCCTACAAACAAGTCAACTAATCAAATTAAAAGCCTTTTACAAGCCAGAACAGCCATTCACTTAAATGTGTGTCCGTTCCCATGTATGCCGTGTGGAATGGTGTTTATAAAATTACAAGTGCTGAATTACAAGACGAATGTCACCGTTTTAATTATTGGCCTGTTGTTGTAGACTCATGACTAATCATCGCATAAGAAATGGGGGGCCTCTAGGCGGGACAAAAAGGATTGTTTACTGTAGAGTCTTGCCCGATGACGATGAGCATGGCCCTTTGCTCATTTAATATCAGTGGATGTCCGCCATAGACTCCAATGAAGCAGTGAGTTCAATGAATCATAGGCACAGATTCATGTGTATTAAGTAAGGGATAATCAACGGCGAGCCGTGCATTGTATGTACTTGTAAACATTGACAAAAGTAATTCTCTGCAGACGTTTAAAAATCTCCCAAAATACTGACTCTTCCTTAACTGCTATCAAATGTTCTCTAGAAACATACAATCGAGCAATTTACAGTTAGCTAAATCCAAATTTTAAATATATTTAAAAAGAAAATCTAAAAGCTGTCCTTGACGTGTAAATGTTTTTCTGACGTCAGGACGTTGAAGAAATGTAGGTAGCAGTTTGACTTCAACTGATTGCCTTTTTTGGGCGGTGTTTTTCATCCCCCCTCCCCTTTGATATTAGTTAAATCTACATTTCAACTTGACAATTTCTGTGCTTGATTTTAAGTCTGTATCTCCCTCTAGTGGACAATATTACTACCTTTTTCATTTTGTTTTACTTGGTAGATAAACCTTGAAATGGAGATTCTGCTAATCTTGTCTGTAAAACTACTTCAGACAAGCAATTACCATATTCAGTGGCAAATAACATTTTCACACAAAAACCACCACAGTAGTAACTAGTTTATTTACTTTGTTTCTAAGCCTAATTTGGCTCATATATCCACCAGAAGAGACTAATAATCCTCTCCATTCATAAACCTTTTTTTTCTGATGCATCCTTTGTGATCAAAACTCCTAAACATTCACTGTAGAGAAATTATATAATTACACAATACAGCATAACATCTTGAAACGACAAAGTTTTACTTCAAGAAAATAAATAGCTACTTCAAAAAGTAAAACGTGAAGGAATATATTCTGCAAGAGAAGGTTTGGCATGGAACAGCCAATAAAAATCTCCAATATGTATATACGATCTTGTTGAGGGCCATGAGAAAGTTTACATTAAGGCAAACGATCAGTGCACAGGCATGTATTAAACTCTTATGCACACACACACACACTAGTATTAACAATCACACACACACACACTTTATACAGCCAATTGATTGGAGCTCAACTTCAACAACCTAGCATGACGTAAACAGTATACCTATTGCTTCAGCAAACTTTTCCAGCTGTGTTAGCGACAAAATGAGAAAACAGAAAACAAAAACACAGAACATGTGGATGAAAACACAGAACTGAGTTTTGACTTAAATAGAGGGCGACCCACAGGCCAATGATAAAGCTGAGAATAGCAAATGGCATACTGAAAACAAACGCAATGACAGGAACAATAGTGTTTGCCCTTCATATTCCCTTTGTCACAGTCATTCGTGGTTGGTGGCATGCTCCGTTGATGAATGAGGTCCACACTGTAACCTCAGTGTCTCAGATGAGTTCATGGAATAAGAAAAGGCCTTGAGTTTTAAAAGGCTTCTCATTGGTACTGTCTATAGTCTCCAAATGATGAAGCAGGCATGGGAGCAGGTTCTTCTGCAAACTGTGGGCCTGTAGAGAAAAGAAGATGTTGGCTTCTCTGTTTTGATTTAATTATTACTTTTGAATATTCACATTTTAAAAAGTTTTACTCAGTTTCAAAGGATGACTCTGCACACTTACCAGTTGGGAATTGTGCTGAGGCAAACCTTGTAATCAGAATTCCTGCACCCTCTATTAATGCAAGCAGTATACCTCCCATTGCAGCAGAGCCAACCATGGCCACTGGTCCATCTGTGATGAGACAAAAGATTAATACCACACACATAAACATATGTTATTCTTTTTTAAAAGAATAAAAAAAAAAAAAAAAAGAAGAAGAATGCACTTAATATTTATTAACTCACTTACATGACCACATCATTATCCACATTTCTTTGGGTTTGGACTTACTTCTTGCTGCTAAAATGGCTCCTGTCATGGCTCCACTTGTGATTGAGTTCCAGGGGTCTTCTTTGCCCCTCACCTTCACCAGTCCACAATCAATCATGGAGAAGAGGCCACCCCACACAGCAAAGCTTCCTAATGATGACAAGCATTTGTATTGTGTAATATATTTTAAAGTAAACCCAAGATGTGTGATGCAGAATTACAATACAAATTGGTTAATTTAAACGAACAAATATATAAATAAATAAAAATGAGCTATTAAGATTCAGTTATCTGCTAATCTTGACAACCTCAAAATGGCCAAATAGTGGACAATTAATCCAGATTATACATTAATAATTTTTTTAAATATATTAATCCTGAATATCACTCAGTCACAAATAATTGTTTATTTTTTTTATTACACAGAATCTGTGCCAATATCATGGACCATAACTATGTCAGCATCACTTAGCCATTGAGTGTAGTTTGGGCTCCTCCTCAAATCTTATAAATGTTGTCATATGTCTTGTCCAGTCTGTTTTTCTTCATTAGTAACATGCAATTATATAGGTGGTGTTGAATTTTGTCTTTAGCTCCTTGCATTCTTTCTTATCATGTAGACAACAGGTTAAGTAATGAATATGCAATATAGTGCATATATTTAGCAAAATGCTCCTCTTTATAGTTATTTTTTCTAGCTGACTGATGAGCATATGCATGCCGAATGGTTATTCTGAGGTAAATATTGTTACGTGGCGTTATTTACAAGCTTAACACGTCTTCCACAGTTTGAAACACTGAATGAGTGATTACATGAGACATTTCAGTAAGTTGTACTGTATCTATAATATACCCTTTGGTGTCCATTCATGATTATTTCGTACTATAGTAGTAAAGAGAAAGATATGATGGGTTCACGTGCCGCTTGACCTGAGGTGCTAAGGCGATTGCTCATGCCATTAAAGAGCGCCAAAAGGGTATTTATTGTTTGAATTTCATTATGAATTTGGCAGAATTGTAAAGCTGATACTTTGTTTATTAAATGGTAACAGAGCACAAAGCTTGTTGTGATTACTGGACGGCAGATGTGCTACAAATAATATGAAGTTCACGCAACAGAACACAGCATGTAGACCAAAGATCTTGATAAGACAAAACCATATTAGTATCGATTCTAAATGAGAATTGTTAACGATACTGTTAATGTCCACACAGCTGTTGTAGTTTGTTCAAGTTGTGCACAAAATAGACACTGCTTTTCTGCACTTTTAATTCGCACGTCTCCATAATTTTCGATCTCTCTCCTGCTGCCACAACTGGAGCTGCTTTCAGCAAGAGTGCCATCAGTGCTGCTGTTCGGCAGAGATGAGGACTGTTTGAAAGTCTTTTTTCCACTAAAACTTTGAAGTGCATCATCTCAGTTTATTACGTCAACATAACAAAAGATGTGATCGCAAAACAAGCAGGAAAAAAGGCATTACATGCACATTTTTAAGTCATCACATGTAAATTTATATAGTCGTCAGTGGCAATCTCAGCAAAAATATCACTTGCAAATTCATATTGTTGGTTGCAAATGCGACAGTTTTAGGCACAGTCTGGAGCCCTGTGTTACAAAAATTTTAAATAAAAGTTTCAAATGTGATCGCAAAACAACCAGGAAAAAAGGCATTACATGCACATTTTTAAGTCATCACATGTAAATTTATATAGTCGTCAGTGGCAATCTCAGCAAAAATATCACTTGCAAATTCATATTGTTGGTTGCAAATGCGACAGTTTTAGGCACAGTCTGGAGCCCTGTGTTACAAAAATTTTAAATAAAAGTTTCAAATAAATAAATGCATTTCCAATTATCAAACAATCCTGAAACAAAATGTAAGTTTCTACAAAAATATGAAGCAGAACAACCGTTTTCAACATTGATTATAATAAGAAATTTTTGAGCACCAAATCAGCATATCAGAATGATTTCTGAAGGATCATGTGACACTAAAAGACTAGAGTAATGGCTGCTGAAAAGTTCCAAATAAAACATTATTTTAAAATTTTAATTATATTTCACAGTATTAGGGGGGTTTTTTTGTACAAATGAATGCCACTTTGGTTTTACTTTAAAAAACATAAAAATAACAAAAAATCTTACTGACCCCAAACTTTTTAGTTTTTCAGAGTGTATCACTCTGCATACATGTGGCAATCGTGTGATAGATAACCTTTGAATTTTACATTACCTCCTAGTTGTGGAGCTCTGGTCCTTATGGCTGTCAAGCTACCCCTCATTCTGTGATTCATTCCCTAAACAGATGAAAAACAAAAAAACAATGTCATCTTAATATTGGACCCAAGAAGAACTTCATGCAGTTAAACTAAAATAATACAGCATCACTGTATCATCAGCATGGAGAATCACTCACAGAAGGAGAGTTTCTAAAGCCTTTGACGGCCTGAAAGATCCCTCCACCAATGGCCCCCATGGTGAAGGCGCCCCCACAGTCGTCCACTATCCTCCAGGGGCTGAGAAACAAGGAGAGGTCATGATGATGAGAACGATAACAGTAAATAAAGCACACCTCTCCTACTAACCACCCATGCAAAAAAAGTACTCTGGTAAACACGGTTTAAAAACAATAACAATATGGTATTACCATGGAACACCTCTAAAATGACTTAATTTTTGTTCATGAAAATCCTACTCGAACAAGTATTCATAATGTGTCCCAATAAACGAGACAAAAAGCAAGTCTTATAAAATATAAAGGCCTTTCTTTAGTGCTTGTGCTTTCACGTCTTATTGCTAGCCGGTTGATCTACAGATCCCGCTGCCCATATGTTAAAATAAATGATATATATTCTGTTTTTTAATAGCTCAAACATTTAAATAATAGATATTATTAGTCAACATAATATAAAAACAAAATCAACTGACCACGGATGCCGGTGTTCTGACAAATAATGCTACCTATCAGATTATGCTACCAACACTGTATTTATCCTACTGTAAGAGTAGGTTTAGGGTTAGGGTAGGTGTACATGTTAATAAAGCCTCACACCTTATTAATATCATGCTGGAAGCCAAATCTGATAGGTAGCACTTTTCGCTATTGAATGATGCTACCATCTGTTTTAATAGGAGGTAGAACACCGGCAGAACAAGGTCATGTGCTTTAGTGACAGCATGAAGCCTTCACTGAAGGACATCGCGTTGAGTAGCGTCCATCAAACCGACCATATCACGATAATTCGAGCATCAAACAGCCTGACAACTAACCAGACTATTTAACAGATATATAACTGTTTAAAATGTATAAAACAATAAGTAGTTTGGGGCTGTCGGCTCACCATGGCTCCCTCGCGTACTCCTCCATTTTGTTCTTTTCCTGTTCGCACTGACGTATTCAGACACGTGCTGTTGCTGCGGGTTACGTCAGGCTGTTCGCGTGTTCTTTTGAGAAGGGTCTGGCTGCTGTTTGTAACCCTTATTGTCTTTTGTTCTTAATTGTCTTTGTAATTGTATTTGCTGTTCTTCTATTAAATAATAAAAAAAAAATAAAAAAATAAAAAAAAAGGGTCTGGCTGCAGCTTGGCGCTTGCACTCTCAGACGTGCATTCTCAGGCTTGCACTCTCAGACACTTGCGCTTCCGCTAGCTACGTCACTTGCAGTCTTTTATTTGTTTTTATTTTGTTCTATTTATTGATTACTTTTTGTTTGAATCGCTCAACGTTTTACAACAATAGCCAGGTGGTGAAGACAAGAAAAAAGAAACTAAATTACAATGTCACTTGCAATCGCCACTTGCAAAACGCTTAACAAGAGACTTTGCACATGCGTTCATATTCTGCTGTTCTGTGGCCACGGATTTGCGGGTCTTGTCTTTTTCTTGCAGGACCCTGTAGGTTATGGTACTAAATTAGTTTTAATCATTAAATCACCACCACAGCGTCTTGTCTCCAGTGGCAACACGCACGATTTGTGTCGATTGCAAGTGACGTCGCAGGTATCAGAGAGTGCAAGTGGCGATTGCAAGTGACTTCGTAATTTAGTTTCTTTTGTCTTGTCTTCACCACCTGGCTATACTGTTGTAAAATGTTGAGAGATTCAAACAAAAAGTAATCAATAAATAGAACAAAATAAAAAATAATAAAGACTGCAAGTGACGTCGCTAGCGGAAGTGCAAGTGTCTGAGACTGCAAGCCTGAGAATGCACGTCTGAGAGTGCAAGCGCCAAGCTGCAGCCAGACCCTTTTGGTTCTTTTGCGGTCTCTTTCTTTGATCGTTGTAGAGGACCCTCTAGTGGCAGTATTTCTACCAACTGCAACACGTTGACAGTGAGATAATAAGCAGAGGTCCCCAAAATGTGTGAACCCACATGAAAAAATACTATAGTAATTTATAGTAAATACTATAGTGTTTTTGAACCATACTATAGTAAAGTACTTGAATTAATTTGTTGTGGTAATTCTATCGTTGTTGTGGTAATATAACAACTATAGTAATATAAACAAATTACTTTACCCAATACTGTACTAAGTTTTATATAATACAACTATAGGGTATATTATACTACAATACACTACAGTTTACTGTAGTAAAAACTAAAGTATACTACAGTAGCCTATTTATTACAGTTTATCAGTTCACTATGGTTAATACTACAGTATGCTGTAGCATTCATTAACAACGTGTTATACATACTTTAATATATACAGTATAATACACTTTACTATAGTATGGTTCAAAAACACTATAGTATTTACTATAAATTACTATAGTATTTTTTCATTTGAGCTCCACCTCGTCCAGAGGCTATGATGGCCTCCACTCATTGTTTTCACCTGGGATTAAACTAAATAAGATATAAGAAGCTGTAGGCCTAATTGTGCTTTTAAATTAGGCTATTGCTCATTTTGACTTGGAATTGAGATTATATATCACAATTATGCCTGAAAAACTTCAACTTCTAGTATCTCGCAATATGTAATGAAAGTTGTCAAGTGACTAATAAAACTGAGCTTGTCCTTTAGAGATTCTTCTTTGGGCCCAGAGGAGATGGAGCAACTCTATAAATTAGTAGATGGCTCTGCATTAAAACAAGAACTCAAGAATCTCTCTCTCTCCCTCATGTCGCCTTTAAGTCATTGCAGTCCTACGGGCTGTTGGCTATGTTTCCATTATTAGGAAAGGGAAAGGAATGAGATGCAGACTGAGCCTGTATTGAGAAATGACCAAATATAGACATTTCAGCAGTGCTGAGGGTTAGTCAGGAGCAATCAAAATATAAACTAGCTTGCTTCGATTCCAATCAACTTTCAAACTCTGAAGGAGAAGTCCACTTCTGAAGGGCTCTGAAAATGATGAACAACAGACCTTTGCAATCCAGCAATTACAAAGTAATCTACGCTTTACTTTAAAAGCAATAATCTATGTACTGCAATAAGCATCTGCCATTTATTTGAAGACTATAAATCTACAAGAAAAGATTTTAAATGTGTAACCTGTGACCAAGTTGGATGTAATTTTCAGTGTTACCTCACAAGTGGCTTTAAAGATAAAAAGTGTGTTCTTGTGTTGTTCTTTTTCTTTGACCGTCCTACATAGCCTTCATGTATAGTTCTTTATTCTATTGACCAAATGAGCTAAGCAGGATTATGTGGCATTTGCAACAATGCATTAGATCACTGACTTTTCCATGCCCAAGGAGCTCATTGTACCTCTGGAAGCGTGTTACAGCCCTTTATTAGGATCTGTGTGATCATGTAAAGAGCTAGTATTCACTAATACTAGAATCATTCATTCTATCTATGGTTCTGAACTAGACTCTAAAACTTTTAGTACATTTTTATGTCCTCATACAATGATTCAGTTAGATTGGAGGAAACGAAAAAGATTAACAAGGTCAGTATTGCATAAGGTTATATGAAGCTTAAAAGAAGATAATATGATGACAGAATTTTCATGTTTGGGTGGAGTACCCCTTGAAGGAGTTTGTTTTGATGTTAACAGACCAGTGATAACTACAACTAAAACTAGTTTCAAGATGAAATCCAATAAAAAAAATAAATAGATGACACACTGATAAAACAAACATGATTCTGATATTTTTTTCACAATGACCTGAAATTAATAAAGTAAAATCCAATGGACCAATCATATCTTTATCTGGCATATTCATCCAAAACTAATTTTATTTTCTAGCACAAATTGAATTATCATAACATTCAATTGTAGCTTTTACTAGATGTGCTCTTGAAGAGACTGAGGTCATACAAGCATGAAAATATATTGTCTTCAAAGCACGTGAGGTACATGAACCTTTATTATGTGCAGAGATTGCTTCCATTCCCAAAGTAAAAACTCACTACATTTTTTATGTTTTTTGATAAATTACAAATGGATGGTAAAAAAAAAAAAAAACACTTTACAGTGATTAACATTTATCAACTCAATGGATTACATGTAATTTTAAAGGAAAACTCAAAATAAATCAAAATAAATATTGTATGTTTACACAGTCATATTCACAGATCTGATTATCCATTGCTTTCTCTTGAAAGCTGAAATCCTGTTCTCTTTCACACCCAATCATTCAAAACAAGGTATTAAAAATTCCGCAGTACCATGGAAACTATATATTATTTGTAATTTTTGATTAGAATCCCACCTTTATTCCCTGATCAGCAAGAGCTTTTACAATAGAGATTCCCAAACCCAAAATAACTAGGATAAAATCCAGACAATTATTTGTTCTTACATAGTTCAATTCAGTCAGCTATAAGAAGATCCAATTTGACTGCAGAAACAAACATCTTTTCAACATCCACACATACTGTATCAACACACATTAGTAAATCTATCATATGAAATTATTAATTTAGTGCAAATGACAAGCAAGGCATCAACTCTGCAGTTCCATAGGCCACTGAAGCCTCTGAGCACCCATGACTGCACCACACTTCCATTTCTTTCTATCGTCCAGTGTATTTTGTACAAAGACTCCTGGGTAGAAGCAGTTGAATATCACCATATATACGAGTCCTTGCATGTTTTCCATACTATAGGGCAGCTGTAAGACTTTTTATGGAAGATTCTGAGTAATGATCTTCTCAAGGTCTGTGAGATGTCTGTCCTTTCATTCCTGTCGTTTTCTTCACCCATAATTATCTCTCTGCATTGCCGGCTTATTGCAAGAGCTCTGGTAATGCAACCTATGAAAAAATATGATTCATGGTGAGTTCAAATGTTCAACATCTATCTATCTATCTATCTATCTATCTATCTATCTATCTATCCATCTATCCATCCATCCATCC